TATATTTTTAATTTCCTGTTAGTTGCTCTTTGCATTCTCATGATCAAATCTCAAATACGAGTTTGCGCGTCGCATAGCGGTAAACAAACGAACTAGCGGTTGAATACTATTTTTTGTAAGGTTTTTGGAATGTTGCGCATAGTAACATTTCTCATGAAATATTAAATAAATAATAATTTTGAATATGTGAAAATGTGCGCATCAAATTCAATTATTAATATTAAACGAAATTAATGTTAACAATTAATTGCACATGTATATGTCCTCTGGAAATCCAAAGGACATTCAATATAATAGACAGGGCAGGTATCCTACAGACATCCAGGGGTTATCCAGGGGACATTTATAGGACATTAATACTTATTACAATACTTAAAATTTCTAAATTATATTAAATAGCCTACATAACCGAAAGTAATCATGTATGCATATTAAATTTTCATAAAATATATTTATAATAATATCTTAAAACATCCTACAAATATCCTGAACCATCCTGGACATATTCAGGATGATCCTGAGGACGTTTTGTGCTGTCTGGGATAGTATTCAACCGCTAGTTCGTTTGTTTACCGCTATGCGACGCGCGAACTCGTATTTGAGATTTGGTCATGAGAATTATATAAAGCTTGCAAAGAGCAACTAACAGGAAATTAAAAATATAATTATTTTTTATCAGTTCAATTTTTCTGATGCAATCCCAACATAGGGAATTCAGATATTGGATTGTTTTGAAAATATTACACATAAACCTAAAATATTTATGTACAGCACGAAAACCTCAAATATTAAAGAACGTGAACTATTTTTAGTATTAGATTTTTAGTATTGGCAGTAAATAACAGAACGCAATCTTAATTTATATTTAAATTTTAGAATTTGTTCTTTTTAACGTGTGAAAAATATCCCTAACATATCCTATAGAAATCCTTAAGGTGTTCCACAGGATCTCCCTGGATTCTCTAGAGGCTAGTGTACGGCTATCATTTATTCTTCCTCAGGACATCCAGAGGAGATCCGAGGATTAAAATAGGATATCCTCAGGATATCCTACATGTATGTCCTGGATGCCCTTTGGACGTCCTAAGGACATCCTTGTGCTGTCTGGGTAGTGTACGGCTATCATTTACTCTTCCTCAGGACATCCAGAGGAGATCCGAGGATTAAAATAGGATATCCTCAGGATATCTTACATGTATGTCCTGGATGCCTTTTGGACGTCCTAAGGACATCCTTGTGCTGTCTGGGTAAGTTACAGTAATATATTCCCATAATATATATTTTAATACTAAATTCGTTATCTACACATTCTTAATCCATTATTTAAAAAAGTCAGAACACGAAAAACTATTTTAATGTTTAACATTAAATTACATTTTAAAATACATTTGAACATAAATTCAAGTCAAATTTTCATAAAATGAAAAATATATCTTATGTATGAATGATAGGAAAAACAATGCTAAAATTATCTTAAAAAAACATTTTCCACATTTTAGCTTGAATTTTCTCACATGGCCATACGCGAACGCGATCCTCTTCAATCACAATTTGAATAAAAGTATTTGACAATTTTTATTTTATTATTGTTAATTCTCGCGCACGCTAGGTTTCAATCAGCGTCATTAAATGTTTCAAAATTTAAAAACTGCACATAATTAATCGCGATTGAGCTTCTGAAATGCGAAAGAAGCGATTATCTATTTGGCTTATTTTTAACTTTAACGTTGTAAATCTTATTGTTAATGTAGGGTAGAGCGGGGTCAAAAGTAACAATTTGACTTTAGAATTTTATTGTAAAAAAACTATTATAGTAAAAAAAAAAATTGTTGATATCCCAAGTTAGCATATTTATTTCACTTTATGGAAATCATAACATTTAAGCCTTGTGATGAATAACATTAAAATTATCAATCAAAAATGAAAGCGAGGAAAAATGTTACAATCGCCCCAGACTCCGGGCCGGTTGTAACAGTATTAGGGGTCAATTGTAACAATTTTAAATAATCAAAATTAGAAGTTTTTATTCAACGAAATTATAATAATTCTTCTTATATTAGCAGAAATAAACTAAAATATTCATATTCCTACACAAAAAATAGCAAAATAGAAACTTATTCTTTTAAAATTTAACTTTTTTATATTAATCATAGAAAACGTTAACTTAAAGGTGCTGACCTATCCGTAACGTAAGATGGAGCATAATCAAGAGCTGTAAATATATTTCTGTTGTAGGAAAATATGCCCGTGCATCTGAAGCCTGCTTGAATGTTAGTTACAGTCAGCGCCATTGGAAGAGCCGTGTTTATTATGGAAGGAATGTGATAGATAGTCATTGTTTTCCCTGGATTATTGCACATCCAAGCATCACAACTGGTATTGACAGCTTTTTTTAGTGGCCCATATACAGAACGGTCTAGTGGCTGCAGCTTATGTGAGCAATGGGGAGGGAAAGACAGCACTATTATACCGTTTTCGGAACAATAGTCAAGGGCTTGGATGGATATGTGGGAAGAATGATTATCCAGTAGCAAAAGAACTTTATGGGAAACTGTTGCAGACGTATATTTTTGAAAGTGTTTAAAAAATATGAGGTACTCATTTTCTTGCATCCATCCGCTTGCGTTTCCGGCTCCAATGCTGCCAGTTGGCCCATCTCTGACAAAATGCTCTTTATATCGAAGTCTCGGAAATATGAATGTCGGAGGTATAAAATTACCGATAGCATTTACTGCGCACATTATTGTGACTAAGCTTCCTCGTTCAGCAGATGTCAATGCGCCAACTTGCCTGATTCCTCTTCTAGTAACAATTTTATTTGGTTTTTGGACAGTTGTGATCCCTGTTTCGTCAGCATTATAAATATCCTTTGTTTCGAACTTATATTTATCAATGACATTTTGCAAATTGTCAAAGAAGATATTTACATTAGTTTCATTAAAACTAGTGGCACGAGACATACTAGTGGGTTGTGCACATCTTATAGATAATTGTGGTTGTCTTTTCATGAAGTTGCTAAACCAATCTTTACTCGCCGTTTTGTTTTCTTCCCACTGAGATGGGAATGACAGTTTATATTTCTTTGCCAACTCACATATGCAAATCTTTTGATTTCTTTGGGACAAAAACCATAGTATATATCTGCTGCTCTTATTACATAATCTGCTATTTTTTTTTCCTGGTCCTCGCTAAAAACTTTAGTCCAAGGTTTATAACCCATCCTTACCGAAGAATTTTCATCCTCTGTCAAAGCTTCTTCTTTTTTCTTCTTATATCGTGCCAAAGACACGTGACACAACTCATATCTTTTTGCAGCTGAACAGATAATTTTTCTTCATTTACATCTTTGTATGCCTGCTCATAGATTGATGTATTTTTTCTACCTCTGTCAGTCTTTCTAACCTTAGTACGAGGCATTCTGAAATAAAAATAGTTTACTTATGATTCAAAATGAAATAAATTGCATCAGTCAGGTTTATATTCAAAATTTAGCACGCTCGGAAAAAGATACTTTATAACCTCGAAAATATATTTTCGTCACTGTACACGTTCACACTTCAGTACCGAGTCCGCAGACGTACTGAGACATGTTGTAGTTTGTTTAGCTTCATGCGCTGACCAACGCACGCGTATATATCTGCTATATATCTATAGATATTTGAGTTGTTACTTTCGCCCCGCGTTACTTTTGACCCCGCTCTACCCTAAGCATTTTAACACACAGAGGACACATACAAATTTTATTATAATACTTTTACGTGTTATAGGTAAAACTTTCGCATATTTTATATTTCAATGTACATTTTGCGTTAGTCTTTGTTTTTGTCTATACAGCAGACGCGACTATCTTTTCTGCACCCTATTTTGCCTTCAGTTATCTTCTGTAACAAGCTTGGCGAAGGGATTTGCCTCCAGGGCATGCCTTCTCTCTTGACCTCTTTGTTATAATTTATTTTAATAAAGTAACTTCAATAATTGCTGTTGTTATAACCGTGCGCAAGCACAGACGAAAGCATTCGTCATTATAATATACTTTTATCTATAATATACTTTGACGAAGCCTACTTCTCCTTTCAAATGTAGAATAAAACGCCCATAATATTCAGAGTTGTTATTTATTTCTAATTTCAAGTAACTCAAGTAAATTTCAAGTAGTTGATTTATATAATTTGTAAATAACACTATGCTTTCTCAGTGATGATGTATTTTACATTATTCGATATATTATTTTATAAGAAGATTAAAAAAAGTAAATAAATAAATCGATAATTTGAAAGTTTCTTCCTATTTTTTATGTAAAAGATGATATTTTTATAAGAGAATAGAAGATTTATCGTTAGCAATTAAAATGCTTGACAAATGTATTTGCAAGTTTTTCTTTATTTTTCATCCAGAGAATATGTATCGACACGCAGAAATTAATTTTAAAAGTTAAATGAAAATTAAATTATTATATTTATTAAATAGTAATCAAAATTTTTATTTTTTTTTTTGTCTGCTGTTGTGATCTCGTTCGAGACAGACGAAGAATATTTTCGCTTTCCTCGAAATGCGCTCGAAATTCTTTGTATAGTAATTTCCTCTATCAAAGGTGATGCAAAAGCACGTGCGGAAACCTCGACGCACCCCTATCCCTCGCATGTTTCCCCTTCGCAACGGCGGTCATCCCTTCGCCGAGTGCAGCTCCGCTTTCCCGTCGCCTTTTCCGGCGGCGAGTCGCGACGGGAGAGGGAACCGCCGATGTGGTCCCCCTCCAGACGCACGCTTCTCGCCTCTCCGTCCCCTCATCAGAATCGCGAGCGACCTGTTCTCTTCCCCTCGTTCCCATCGCAGGCGCTCGATCCAAAGCCCCCCTTCACTCTTCTTTCTATCATCCACCCACTCACCTACCCCGACCCAGTGGCCCGCGGGCCACCCCACTCCACCCTCGCGGCGCGGCGACCCCGCGCGCCCGCGCGACCGTCTCACCGCCATCACGCTCGTTCACGCTCCGTCAGTCTGTCGGCAACCTGCGTACCAGTCGTGTCGCAGCGCTCACGTAACAAAATTCTTATTATTATTACTATCACTCTCTTTACTTGCCTTGATACTTGGCCGGTGGTGTGTTCATTCTCGTTTCGACTATATATACGTTGCGCGTTTTTCATTTTCGACACCGCCCCCTAATTACGTCCCTTTTACGCATCTGGAGCTCTCGCGCTCTCGTCGAAGAAATCGTCATTGCCGCCGCCGCACACATCCGCGCTCGCGCATGAAATTCGCCACGATCCGCGGTCGTATCACACGGAACGCATCGATAAAGTGATAGAGAGACAGAAGGCCGTAACGAAAGAGAGAGGGAGAGAGGAGTACAAATACGTCAACTACGAACCCGTCGTCTGCGAACCTTACCTGATCGCCTCTGCGACTTACGAGCGTCGCTGGTATTCCAGAGCGTTGCTGCGTGTCAAGCACCCGGTGCGTGTCAAGTCGTACGGCTCGCACAATCTTGTCGTCGTCGTCATCGTCGCCGTCGTCCTCGTTCTCTTCGTAGCGTGTAAGCGCGCGAACGCGTTTACGCAGCAGCCTTAGAATCCGTCAGACGAAACGTCATCAGACGCACGCTCGCTACATCCGGTGCATGGGTTGCTGTTGCTCACCGAATAGATGAAACATCCGGTTTACAGGAGGAACATCGCCGACGTGGCCGATCGTGTTCACCGGGTGCTGCCCTGCTCCTCCTTCGTGGCGGACACGCTGCTCGTGTATCGATTGCTCTAAAATAGACGCGTGGGAACAACACCTGCAGGCCAGGCGTACACGTATACACATGCCGCTCGCAGGCGCATAAACGCGCAACAGACCGCACACGTTCGTGCACCACGCTTCGTACACACATACGGTTCGTCTGCTCTCTCTCTCCCTCTCTCTTTTTCTCTCTCTCTCTCTCTCTCTCGCCTTTACGCTGCCACGACTCCCTTGCAGCGGCAACGTGTGACAGGTGCAACGACGGCGACGTCGTTGTAGGGTAGCCGGAGGTGGCGCTATCGGAGAACCGCAGCAGGAAGCGGAAGAAGAAGTGAGTGAGGTCGACGCCGCGAAAAGACGCGAAAAAGAAGAGGAAGAAGAATCAAGGAAGGGACAGACGGAAGGGGAGAAAAAAGAGAAGGAAGAAAGGGGGAAGCCGGCCAGGAGAGAGAGAGAGAGAGAAGAAAGACCGGGTCAGGGAAGGAGAGAAGGCGTGGAGGAGAAAGAGGAGAAAGAGGAGGAGGAGGCGGCCGCGGCCCCCGTATTTTTTCACGAAGGGAAGGTTATTTTCTACTGATACGTCCTGGAGGCGCCCGTCGTCTTCGCCGGTACAACCATAACGCCGCCCGCTTTAAAACGACCGAGACGGGACACGGTGGACTCATCGCCGCCACCCGCTCGTACCGCAGCCCCCGGCAACCCCGGACCGTCCGGCAAACTCGCCTGCATCATGGATGCGCCGCTATCGCAGAGCATGGACTCCGTTAACACGGTGGCCACCGGCGAAGATGAGGTAAGTCTCCCAAGAGTTGCTCTTTAAAGGCGTGAGGCGGCGACTGTACTCGTATGCAAAGGGGTGGAATCCACCCCTTCTTCTGACGCGCTCGTTCCGTCTCTCTTTCCTTTCCCAGTTGTAACTTGGAGCCATCTCGCATTTCGTGCGTTTCTTTCGCAAGACTATCAATATCCCTTTCTCACCCCCTTCCTTACTTTCGCTTTATCGAAGGCCACCCTTGAATATCAGATATCACTTATTTTTCTCCTTCTTTCCTTCCATCAAGAGGCTACACAATTCTCACCCTCTTTCTTTCTTTCTTCCTTTTGCTGTCTCTCCCTCACACTTTTGTGTTATCGCCATATTGGTCCGTTCTCTATCCCCTGCGCCTGTGTCTGTATATATTGTGTCTGTCTCCCTTACTCGTTCTGACTCTCGCGCGTCATAGCGCGCGCAAGCGCGTATTTAGGTGCTCGCGCAGGCTGCTGACACGCGCGTACCTCCGCCGCGTGTAGAATGTCACTCATTAATGATGCGAGCACGATGCAACATGCATGCTCGAAATGGTCTAATGATAGTGAGGAGGAAGGGTTTATGGAAACATATAATTGCATATACGACAGATAGTCATAGTTTTTTTTTTTTTTTAATAAAAACTCATAAATCAAATTTATTTTTTGATAACATAATATAATATAATTTTAATCAAACTCCACGATGTTTTATAAATTATACATATATTACTGTATTAAAGAAAGAGCGACGGATGTTTCATAAAAAATCAGTGGAAAAATGCCTGAGTGCATATTTCATGGTGATCTCAATAATGTTTTATTATGCTATTGCAACAGAAATATCAAATATGTATCCTTCGGCGAGCGATAGATACTCAGAAATTAAATGAAATTAATGCATGGTTCTGTATCGAGCAGCTTTGCAAAATCAATTACGAAACAGAGAAGCGTGAAGTTAGCAATTATATGTAATTGTACTATTCATTATACTCGCATTCATCTTTTGTTCTCGGCGATCAACCGTAACTATATATAATCTTGCGCAATTTTTTGCGATTGCTCGTGACTTTGTAGCAGCTGGTATGACGCAACTGTTCGGAGTTGAAACAGTTGTACGATACAACTGTTTGTAGAACGAAAACAAATCACATTTTTAATTTACGATGTTGATCATTAAATGCCTTTTGGATCGAGAACTGTAGAGAAGTATATATTATACTAGCTATAGTGCAAGTCGCGAAAACTTTGTTTTACATTAATTTTCAAACTACTGTAATAAAGTTTCTACACTATGTTGTTATAGTACGTACTTGATAATAACTGACGTATAATCAAAAATGTTATAAAACTTGTTGAGAAAAAATACAAAACGAATTCGAAAACAGCAAGAAAGACTTTTGAGAAACGTAGCTTTGCTACATTAAATTTTTATGAGTTTTATTTGCTAAAAATATTTATTTAATACTTCATAATTTATATTTTTCGACCTTAAGAAAAATTAAAGTTCTTTTTCCATTCCTAAAATAAGATTTCTTTTACTGCATCGAAAATATTAACTTAATCAATTCTTTATATTAACAGCACTAAATTAAATTTAAACATTTTATAATAATATTGATTATAAAACATAAATAAAAAAATATTAATATATCTCGAAAAATCTATAAGAATTAAGATTGCAATTAAAACTTTGATCATTTATTAATAAATAAATTTATTAATTATACAGAAGTTATTTTTATTATATTATATGATATATACGTAATATTAAATTATATATTCTATCGAATATTTGTATAATTAATAACATAAAACAATAATCCAAATTAATCAGAATTATTAATTAATTAAACAAAAATTGTGAAGTTTTATTTAAGAAAAAAGAATGTAATGTAAAAGGCTTAAAATTTTGATCGAAAGAGGAAGAAGAGAGGTATACAATTCTAATCCCGCTTCAATAAATGATAACACCGTGCGCAATGCCACCGTCGCGCAGCAGCGTACACAAACACACATATTATACATGCATACATACGTGTATACATATATACATCTTCTGGTGGAAGGCGGGAATTCGATCGCGCGCCTGCCACGACTGTATGTGCCTCGCAGGTGACTCGTTTTCGTTGGTGTGCGCTCGATCGGACGGTTGCCTGCTTACCTGTGTACGTTCGTCTGCCAAGCTGTTGGCTTCCTTCCACGCACAGGCACAAGGCAAGCGGCCACCTGAAAGAGTGACGCCGCCACGCCACGCCGCACCACACCACGCTCGCTATTGATTTTTCCGCGACTGTGCGAGAGGGCCACCGAGGAGGGCCCGCCAGCACGCTCCGCGCTATGTCACGTCATATGGAAGGTGGATAACGCCTCGATACGTAGATGCTAAAGATGTATGTGTGTATATATATGCGCGTAGATGTGCGTGCATATGTCGTACGCGGGTGTCGACATATACGCGCGAATGATTTGACTTAGGTCGCAGAGCGCACTGGGTAGCGACCCCAACGAAGAGTAACTGATGGCCCTGCCTTCTGTTTTTGCCGCGGAGGGTCAATCGATTCATGTGTTTACGATGGAGTGGATGCTCGTGGGAGTATAGGGAGAGTCACGTTTTAGCTGTAAAGTATTGAGGAAAATGAAATTTTCTCCATACAGGAGATTTGTAGCTAAAGATAGTCTACGTAAAACCCAAAAATAAAACCTTTGTTGAGATATATTTCTATACCACTGCGTGTCATTCTACTCATTAATTTTTTTATTTGTCGATTCAATTGTGGTCCAGTATTTACTTTTAACGATAGATCTTTTTTTATTTTTTATTATGCTGTCATTTATTCATGTTGTAGCTTACTCTACTGTAGCAGATGCAATGTATTGCTTTATTTATAAAAGAAAAAATAATTTTCTTTGTAAATGCATTAGATTGTAAAAATAGTCATTTGTCACTTATGAATCTTGGATTAATTTATAATTGATTTTTTCTTAGCAAAAATGCGAAATAAAATCAATATTCGCAAATTTTTAATTTTCAACATTAAAAATGTTTTTGTAGTTTATGTATATAAACTACAGAGTTTTCCAATTAAGAATTAGAGTAATTTATAAATTCCTTTTATTAGGAGAAAATCGATCTCAAAGCGATGAAAAATTTAGATAAAAGGTAATTTGACAGATATATTACACACACAAAAACAATGTAGTAAATTACAGTTGTAAATAACTTACGCAATATTCATGAGAACTTTTACATCAGTTTGGATCGTTGTAATCCAAGTAATGTGGAAATGAAAAACGGAAATGGATATTGTACTCTCTATCGCTGATACAAAAATGCACGTGCAAGCATCATGTTTTGCTATATGAACAAATAAAGCTAACGGCGACCGAGTTTTCTAGTTGAACGACAAGTTCCTAATCGATTGATCGGGTTTCTGAGATAAAAAGATGACAAAATAGGAATTCGGTTGCGAAGAAAAAGAATATTTTCTTAACTATAATTTTTCTCAATAAAAAAACAGAAATGTCATTGTCATTCTTTGAAAGAAAGAGAGATATATAAAAAGAAAATATCTAGTATTTTTTTAAATGCGCGCTTATCCGTCCGTTTTAAAAAAGCAATATTAAGATTAAATGAGCGTGATATTGATAAAGAGCAATGTTTTTAATTATTCTAAATAATATTTTATATTTTTTTTTGTTCACGCTATAAAAAGATAAGATAAAATAAAGTTGAAAGTATTTTTAATATCAATTTTATATTTTTATTGTAACGTAAACTAAACTAAAATATATGTATATTTTTTCGTTAATTCTAACTTTTAATAAAAATTTCTATCTAAATCATGGAAAAGTATCATTGCGCTATGATTTTTTGAAATCATTAAAATTGTGTCATTGATAAAACGGCGAGATAAACAGAAAAGCGATGTCAATAAGTGAATATATCGAACGATTTTGGCGCACGATTGTTTTGTCGCGGAAAATTTTATTCAACCAATCTCTCATCTATATGACAACCCGCGTTTACTGCGCGACGAGTTCGTGATTATAACGAGGAAACGCTTTCATGCTTCTCCCTGTTAATCAAGAGAATGAAATTCACGAGCAGGTTATGGCTTTTAATACAAATGTCGATATCCCACGAGAAATGATGTTTCTAATAATATCATGATAACTTTAAAACAAATTTTTAATATGCATTTCTATGGCATAATGATAGCATTAATTGTCCTCAAATAATAAAACTTTATTTAAAACGTTACAATATTGTAAATTGGCGAAATACATGTCAGTAATTTTGAATCGAAATGGCTGATTCTGAGAGAAAAAAAAGTCAAGTTTTATATATTTTTATTGTATTTTTTATGCGATAAAACTATATCTTTATTTTATGCATCATAATAGATTTCCATTGTAAAACAATAAGATCTGCATTCTAGGGTAATAACAATATTTTGTTTTTATATATTAATAATAATTCTCCAATTCTCAATTAAACATGGTTTTAATATATTATCTTAAGTTATCTAGAAAATATATATACATATAAGAGTTTGTACAAGAGAGAGAATCCGATTATACACAGGATATATTGGAAGTCAATACAAACAAAATAAAGATTCTGATGCAAATGCAAATCGAACAAAATAAAGAACAAACTATAGAACGAAATTTTTTATAAAGGCTTCCTTTTATCGATTTGCATTTGCATGAGAAATCATCTCCATTTTATTTGAATCATGATTTCTGATAAGTCCTGTATTTTGATGATGATGTCAAAAATACAATTAATTTATTGGCAGATATTGCACGTGTGTTCTTTGTTTTATCGATTTATAAATTTTGATTTTTTCAAGATATCGTGGCAGATCTCGGTGTTCAATTGTGTGCGCGTGGATAAATTTCGCGTAAATACAATTCGATACGTGCCATAATCATCGAGATTTATACATACACGCTACTGTATCGAGACATAGTAAAAGCGCAGCAGTGCGTGAAAAAATT